CAGCGGCACTGAAAAATGTATTTTTCACACGTATGACCATGGCAGCAGCATCATGGTCGTGTGATTAAAATTTGGATACTTGGCAAGTGGCATGAATTTATAATAGTTGCTAGTTCCGGGGTCATAAAATCGCCTTTTGCGACCTTCCAACAAGCAAAGTCAATGGGGAAGCCAGATTCACTTAACTGTATTACTAAGTGAACAGTGCTGTGATTCACTTAACAACTATGGCAAGAAAGGTCCTAAAATATGGCAGAGCTCACTTAACAACTGTCTCACTTAGTGACATAAATTTTGGGCTCATTTCTGGTTGCAGGTCAAACACTACCTGTAGTAGCTTAAGGGTATATGAGCTCTGGTTATGCCTTTGTTCGGGGCTGTTCAGCAAAGGGTCAATGCTTTGTTGGGAGCCCAATATATACTGTTTAGTAGTTTATTGCAGGCTAATGAAATTATGTTGTATCTTCAAAGTGATTTGGTTGCATTAGATGAGCCAGGATTGACCACAACAATAGAATTTAGGACCGCAACCTAAGGCATTGGGAAAATATGTACTTGAATTATTTCTAGGGGACATCAACTCTTGTGTGGCCTGCTTAGGAACTAATCTAGTCAGGAATGGCACATTTTGAGATGGACAGAGAATCCAATTTGACCATCTCACTTTCCTTTCCTCTGTCTCCCCCACTTGATGCCATGGGTAATGTATTGTAGGGCACAGAAGTTTTCTTTACAGGTTGAAAATGCAATTGTGAGTAACATAAGCATGTGAACAGAGATTTCCTCGTTTTTGCAGTGTTACAACTTGGGATGTTTTTATTTGTATATATGAAATTATTCCTGATATTTATTGAGAAGCCATCTCCTTAAATGCCATTATGGTATTCTTTACAGCTTTCTCATCCACCTGGTAACTTTTGTTAAGGTATTGTTTTGTGCTATGTGCTATCCAGAGCTCTGATGGAGTCATGGCTAATAAATAAGTAATCAACTATTGATGCATTGTTATATTAGTGCTCAGACTGGAAAGTCTGCCCTGAATGCATATGTTAACTTGAATACTGATTAGTCAATCTTTTTACGTGGATAACTTCTTCCTCAATCGAAAGCAACTGTAGATCTCTAAACATAAAAATATTGGTTTTGTAAGGTTTTTTTTAATTAAATAAATGAAAACTAACTATCCCTTTCTACCCCCTTACAAAAATAAATGAAAAGGAGGAGAAGGAGGAGGTGGGGGGAAGGAGATGAAATCCCTACCTTGGGGATACAAAATTTTTACTATTTGTACATATGTAACTGAGAAGAATAAAACAAGGAATAACTAACACTTGATACATTTATCTAAAATAACATTTGAGCCAGTGTGTGTGTTTGTGGAATTGGGTGTGTAAAACTGGGAAAGGGGGTCTTTCTTTAAAACTAAAACTAAAATAACTCAGAACCAATGAAAGGAACTCAACACATCAAAACTGAATTGGGCTATCAAAGGTGGCTCTAAGGAGTGGGGTTTCATGTTGTGATTTTTAACGTCATATGCTGCCAGGGGTCACCTATGTCTAGATCGAGTGGTCATATAAATTTGTTTAATAAATATATTTTACTGCAAAACACCAGTAAGCTAGGTTGACGTGGACTTGGGGAAAACTGTAACTGACCCTCTGTAGGTAACTCAGCTTTCCTCATTTGTAATAATTTATCTGCTCTTGTTAATTTGGAAGCTATAATGATGTGTTTAGAGAATTATCCTCACAAAGGGAAGCAAGCACTCCATCAATTCTCCACTACAGTGCCTTCGAAGAATGAAAAACATGACAATAGCTAAGGATAACATCATGGTCTCATTTGATATCACAGCCCTTTTCACATCCATAGACTCAGAATTAGCCAAAGAACCCATGACAGAATAGCTCCACTTAACCGCATCCAACTTAACCAAATACACAAAGATTGAAATACCCAGAATCATGGATCTTACCACATTCTGCCTTATCACATTCTTTCAATTTGATGGACAAACCTATCAACAAATCAAAGGTACAGCTATGGGATCACCACTTTCAAGACCCATAATGGAGATCATAATACAATGTCTGGAATCGATAGCACTCATACAAATACAACCCAGGTGTGGATCCGATATGTAAATGACACCTTCACCATAACAAAAAAAAAGGGGGACCAATTAGAGAACACACACAAAACCATCAACAACTCTTCAAACAAATCCAATTCACCAGGAAAGAAGAAAACAACTCACTACCCTTCCTGGATATCCTGATCAACAGAGACTATAAAGGCAAACTAGAAATACAAGTGTACCAAAAAAACCACCCACATCAATCATGTGCTCCACTTCCAAAGTAACAATGCAACTTCCCACAAGAGAAGCTGTTAAGAACTCTATTTAGATGAGCACAAACACATTGCCGCAACTCTGAACAGTAGAAAAAGGCAATAGATTATCTATACCACGTCTTCAACAAAATGGATGTCCATGCAACTTCATCATCAACCCAATATAGCAAAACCCCACAACACATAAAAAGGACAATACTGCCCAAAACATCTCGGAAGCCACCAACAGACATCTACAACTACACGGAATCAGCAGCAGCAGCACACAAACTACAGCCTTTCTAAACATATAGGGTAAACCAAAAGACCCAGCATCTATAGAAGAAAAAAACAGGAGTCATCTTCACATACAGTTCAAAGACCGCAACAGCCACTAAGTGGGACAAACAAGCAGAAGACTAGCAGAACACATCCATGAAACAGCAGTCGGAAAATACAATGACAACTTTTTAATTTCATAGCATATGGACAGACTTAACCACAGTTTCAAGTAATAAACGGTAACCATCCTAGACCAAACGAAGTCCCCAAATACTAGAGAATTCCTAGCAGCCTGGCACTCTAACAAATTGGCCATCGATAGTCACATAGATAAATAATGTTCACATACTGTGCAAAACAGACAACAAGCAAAAAAAGGGGGAGGACAAAAAGACCAAAACACCTCCTCACCAGCACTCAAATGAGTATAGATTAACTCCAAGATTTAACATCAGACCAACAATCAAGTAAATAATACTTCAATCAAGGAACTGCCAAAGAAGCCAACAGTAAACAGCCCAATTAAAGATCAAAGAATCTCCTCCACTCCTCCAAAACCACCTTCACTAATAGTGACAGGGCAAGACTAGAATATAAACTGGGAGTAAACCTGACACCTTATTAGTACTGATGATGTTACCTAGTTTGGGTAATGAAAAGTCTGTAAGAAAACAATCCAGCTGAGAGAACACCAACGACTCCTAGAGAATTATCTTGTATAAATTGGATCTTTCGAGGAAAAGCTCAAGAAATTGACTCTTTCCAGCTTTTAGTCCCAGCTGGGATTCTCTCCAGCTTTTCCATACTAGAAAGCCTCTCAGACAGGACTAGGACACTCCTGACCTTATCCTAACCTGAAAATTGCTTAAAATTATGCACTCTCCTATGCTAGTTACTATTCTCCAAATGGTTTGGGAATTAAGTTCCAAGCCTAGTTGGGATATTTAAAAAGCCTTTGGGTAAGAATGCAACTCTCATCTTTTATGTCAAAAACGCATCTTTGTCTGGTAACCTAATTTCATTCAGTAGCCAACTTGTATTCTGGTGAGATATGCTGAGTGTCAAAGGAAGAACCTTTGCTTGGAGGTATTCCTGCTGTTCCTGGATATATTTCATGCAGTTCCTGACATCAGTTAGCTCTGTCCTCTTTTACGAGTTTGTCTATTTACTATTAATAAGGCTACCAACTTAGTAAGCATTTATTTGTTAGATTCCTGCCTGTCCTCCAGAAGTACTTACTATTTATTTACTTAACAATCAAATTTATACAGCATCTATCTCAATAAGTGACTCTGGGCAGTTTGCAAACCAAAAGTACATGGTTCCCACAATAGCCCAGTGAAATGAGATGGTTTGAGCTCAAGTGATTGGCCCATTCCTCTGGGGAGCTTCCATGTCTGAGGAGAGACTTGATCTCCCCACTCCATCCAATAATTTCACTATTACACCCCTCTTGGCCCTTGGGGTGAGAGAGAAGGCACAGCCCAGAGCCCCTCAGGTAGCTCCTGCAGTTGAGGTTAAACCTGAGTCTCCCCAATCCTCGTCCAACACTTGCAATCACTCTACTGTGCATGATCATCACCTTATTATGATGTGCCATGGTGGCGCAGTGGTTAGAATGCAGGACTGCAGGCTACTTCTGCTGACTATCAGCTGCCTACAATTCAGCAGTTCGAGTCTCACTGTTCAAGGTTGACTCAGCCATCCATCCTTCTGAGGTTGGTAAATGAGGACCCAGATTGTTGGAAGCAATAGGCTGACTCTGTCAATTGCTTAGAGAGGGTTGTAAAACACTGTGAAGCGGTATAGCACTAGCCATAGCACTGAGACTTATATACCGCTTCACAGTGCCTTACAGCCCTCTCCAAATGGTTTACAGAGCCAGCCTATTGCCCACAACAATCTGGGCCCTCATTTTGCCCACCTCGGAAGGAGGGAAGGCTGAGTCAACCTTGAGCCTGGTGGAATTTGAACTGCCAAATTGCAGGCAGCCGGCAGGCAGCAGAAGTAGCCTGCAGTACTGCACTCTAACCACTGCGCCACCACGGCTCACCATGGCTCACTATATAAGTCTAAGCGCTATTGTTACTCTAACTTGTGCTGTTGGTTTTCACCTTTCAATATGTTTGAACAGCAGATGTTCTACCTCATCTCCCTCCTCCCCCCCCCCCCCCCTTCTTTGGCAAAGACAGTGCAACTGCCTTGGTGGAAGGGAAGCTCTGGTTCAATATAGCTAGCTAAGGGAAAGCTGTTGTCGGCCAAAAATTTTTTGCCTGTGAGCTCTATATTTGGCTTTGCCTTCACTTCATCAACAGGTGTGCAAAAATAATCCTCATTATCCTACCTGTCTAATGCTAACGTCTTTCCCTGTCTCTTCCTAGGAAAGCTTCCGAGAATTCTGCAGCTGGTGAGTCACTCCTCCTACTTCTTCTTTTGTGGAGGAAAAAAAAACCCTTATAAAAGCATCAATCAGGCTTAAACCCATCCCCATCCCTGAATTTATGAAAGTGGTCCGTGATGTATGAAGGGAAAACTTGGTTCTCATCAGACGGTTTAATTTATTTCATTATTTTTTTCATATTTGTACGCCACCCATCTCACAAAAGCATGACTCAGGGTGGTGTACAATAGGCAATTAAAAAAGAAAACCAATAAATATATCAAAATAACCATTATTAAAAACTGTAAAAATCACAAGATCAAGAAATAATATTAGCCACAATCAGGAAACCATTGTAAGAGCTTCCCGGTCTCTGGGAACGCCCCCACCCCCCCGCAAAGTCTGATGATATAGCCAGGTCTTCAGGAACTTGCAGATTCATCCAATATAGTAGCCTAAATTGTGGCTGCTGTAATCATATGTACACACTCAGCCCGTAGGATTGCCTACAGTTTAGGATCTTATGGCAGTCACCGCTACAGTGGAATTGTGGGAGAGAGCTAAAATGAAGCATCATATCTAGTTAAAAGTTTGTTGTGGAATCCTTATCATCTTATTTAGGAATATGTCCTTCTAAACTCAGTGAAACTTATTTCAGAGTAGATGTGCTTCTTAAATAAAGAAATGGTCAAGAATCTAGCAGAGATAAGCAAAATTGTCTGTGGTCTTGAAATACTGATGCTGTAGTAATAGGCTTTTTCATTACTAATGATTTACACAGTATCATCTTACATGTTGTACCAATGTAAAAAATAATAGGTTTTATTTTTTAATCTTGCTGTAAGGATGGCTGGATGACCCTGTGGCATTTACAAATTAATGGTGATGAAATGGCCATAAGGACTTTCCACCAATGTTATTTTCTAGGCTCAAAGTGTTAAAACTGGTTCTTGTTTCCTTCGGTTTCTGTGAATTTAAATCTAAAATTATATTATACCACACTTATTTATATTTCTCAAATGGTAAGCATTTTAAGCCGGTATTTCATGAATCTTTAGGATATTTTCTTTTAAAAATCTACATTTAAGCTCCTACTTCATAAAAAGAGTTACTAGTAGAAAATGAGGGAACAAGATTTACACACCCTCCCAGAGATTTTGTGTGTTTTCTGAGGATACTTTTCAGTGGAGAACGCCAAACCCAGTGCAGCCACTCATCCAGAGATACAGTGGGCACGCTTCCATTTGAATGTAAGTAATTTTGCTGTCTCAGATTAATTCCATGATTTCTCATATAGTTATGGTGACATGGCAAAACCGTCCTGCCCGAAGACTGATGGCTGGAAAGAAGCAAGGCCAGAATAGTGAATGCAATACAGAAAGAACAAACAAAGCTGCTTTAAAACAGGTCAGACTTTATCAAAAAAAATTTGCTGCCCATCTTGCGGTTCAGGCGACTCTGAAAATATCATTTTCCCATCACATGGAATTTTTCTAAAGCAAGTTTCCAGAGGCAGAATCTGGAATTGTCTGCATCCAAAGCCAATGACCTATCACTGTCATTGGGCAGGATTCACACATTGTGTGCTAAGATATCACATGGTTTGTTGATGCTGGCTAAGCATGATGTGTGAGCTCAGCTACTGTTCTTTGCAAACAGTGATTTATAGTTTAACACATTGTAAATACAGCTTATTTTATCAATCATACTTAAAGCAAAATATAAAGTGATGTGTGAACCCAACGACTGATTCATGCAGAAACAGGTCACCTTCTCTACAGTTAAGTTATTCTTATGCCAGGTTAGATCTGTTTAATGCATCGCATATAAGCTATAATTTGCATAATGTGGTTTAATGAATATTTGATACAACAAGCAAGGCGTACATTGCAGCTTGCAAGTTGTAATGGCTGCATTCATACATGCATTCATACATCATACTAAATATAAGAAAATGACTGTGGGAGACAGGAGGAAGTTTTGCAGCCTCGGCAATGGTCTGATAAATGAAGTCTGATGCCTATAAAGGAGAATATTTGTACCTCAGGGTTGAAACAAGGAGTCTTTGGTGCTCTCTGAACTTGGTTGTTTTCTTACAAGAAAATAATCAAGCTCAGAGAGCCCCAAAGACCCCTCAAATGAAATCTGAATCCAAAGAAAGAGTGTGGGGTGGAGATCAGTGGTGGTATTCACATTTTTTTTACGACCGGTTCTGTGGGTGTGGCTTAGTGGGCGTGGCTTGGGGGGCATGGCAAGGAAAGGATATTGTAAAATCCACATTTCCACCCCATTCCAGGGGAAGGATATATTGTGAAATCTCCATTACCTCCCCACTCCTGGGAGAAGGATACTGCAAAATCCCCATTCCCTCCCCACCCTACTAACCTGCTTTCCAGCTCCGTTCTCCTGTGCAGGGCAACAAAAGAAGACCCAGCCAATCAGATGGGACTTGGGAGGCAGAGAATAGTTGGGGGTGAGGCCAACCAGAGGTGATATTTGCCGGTTCTCCGAACTACTCAAAATTTCCGCTACCAGTTCTCCAGAACCTGTCAGAACTGGCTGAATACTACCTCTGGTGGAGATGTCTTCTGACCATCCCTAGGTTTTAGGGAAAATAAAAGGGAGGGAAGAGCTACTTTTGAGATTTGCAAAACTGATGTCAGCCCTTTGGGGTAGTTCAGACTGGAATATGGCCTTTATTGTAAGGTTATAGTAACAGAAGCTTGCAAATCTCAAAGTACCTCTCCCTTTTCTTATTTTTCTCCCCAAAAGGAGGGGGGATACTTTCTGAAATGTCCATCCCCACCTCTCCTTCGAACTCAGATATTGTTTTACAGAATGTTGTCTAAACAGTGTTTCTTTCTCCGGTCTCCTAAGGTCATTCTCACATGCCATTACATCCAGGGATTTTTTTAAAAAAACCCAATCCACATAAATTGCTTAGCTATGTGAACCGATTTGGGAAGTGTTTTCTTTTACAGTTTTGGACAACTAAGTTTATAGAAAGTGTTTGATATCCTGCTGTGTAGCTCGGTATTATCAACAATAATTTTGAGTCCTGAGATATTATTAGATCATAACTCCACCAGTTTCAGGTACCATAGCTATTTGTAAAAAAAAATGATGTGGTTATGAATCCCTCAACTGGGAAAAAGCATTATCTAGTCTCCAGCAGAAACAATTCACACCATCACCCATCTAATCTATTTTATTTAATAAACGAAGCTAACATCTATAGTATCCTGCTTTTAAAAAATGTGTGGTCTTTTGTGGAAACTGAAAATATTGATAAACAAGATTTATTTAATACTTGCAAAGACTGAATCCAAACAATTCATTTACATTTGCTTGCTAAATTGAACAATGTACTGGGTTGGACACATGGTAGCAGAGCTGGATCTGTAGGTTGAAAAGTTGGAAGATTTAACACTTATCTTCTAGTGATATTCTGAGTCTGTAAATCCTGCCCCCACCTGCTTTGATAAGCAAATCAGAAGGTCCCAAAGCAGTGGTGGGATTCAAATAATCTAACAAATGGTACTCTGCCCTAATGGCCGGCTGGATGGGTGTGGCCATGATGGGCATGGCCAGCGGCTGTGATAGGCAGCAGTCGGCCTCCTGCACCCCTCTAGGAGCAAAAACGGGCCACGGGAGGGAGCTGCACCTCCCGGCACCCCATTTTGGGCCTAGTAGGCCTCCCTGCAACCTCCTGGGAGCAAAAACGGGCCACGGGAAGGGGCTGCACCTCCCTGCACCCCATTTTGGGCCTAGTAGGCCTCCCTGCAACCTCCTGGGAGCCAAACAGGCTGTGGGAAGGGGGCACCCCGCACCCTTCTGCACCCTGTTTTGGGCCCTGTAAGCCTCCCTGAACTTACCTGAGAGCCAAAATGGGGCAAGTGGGGATTCCTGGAAGGGGCAGGGTAGGGCAGCAAGAAGTGGTATTTGCCGGTTCTCTGAATAAGTCAAAATTTTAGCTACCAGTATGCCAGAACAGTTCCAAACCGGCAAAACACTACCTCTGTCCCAAATGTGCTTTTTCAAAAGGCAACTGGGCTTTCTGGTTTTTCTTTAAAGACATTTCACTTCTCATCTAAGAAGCTTCTTCAGAAGCCTCTGACTGGATGGTGGGGAATGGAAGGACTTGGACAGAGAGGAACGCTGCTTTGAAAGAGGGGTCAAAGAGGCCATCTAGGTCAAAATTGAACAGCCTTCTCTTAACAGAAAGGGAGGGATACAGCATCATCTATTTCCAATCTACAACATAGTCCCTTCAACAGTTCTAAGAAGGCTTCACACCCATTTACACCACTCAGGTGACCCTGATAAACCTCCAGGTGACCTTAACGACCTGCTAAAAGAATGCAAATGACCAGCTGTCTGCAAGGAGTATAAATCCCCCCCATTCCCCCACCATCCAGTCAGACCTGAAGAAGCTTTTTAGATGAGAAGCGAAATGTCTTCAAAGAAAAACCAAAAAGTTCAGTTGTCTCCTGAAAAAGCACCTTTGGGACAACCATGATCTGATGATTTGAGACAAGCAAATCTTGCCACTATTATCTATCTTCTACTGGCCTTGTATCTCCTGCCCCAAAATCTTACAGAGTTGGAAGACCTTGGAAATCTTCTAGCCCAACTCTCTGCTCAAGCAGGAAACCCTATACCATTTGAGACAAATGGTGGTCTAATACAGGTAGTCCTTGTTTAATGACCAAATTGATTAGCAACTATTTGCAGCCGTGATGGCAGTGTAATTTTACAGCTGGTCCTCCCATTTGTGATCTTCACAAATCTGTAAAGAATAGGAAAGCTGAAGTAATCATGTTAATAATAATACTTTTTTCCATTTTTTTTGTCAAATGCGAGGCTTTATTTCTCTCACATACAGGTAAT